GTTTTCTTCCGTAATACCTAGTAATATTTTTTTCCTATTCTAGTTATTAATACATAACACATTTAACAAATACAATTTTTCTAATATTCTAATAACCAAAAAGAAATTGTATTGGTGAATCACAAGTATAAAAAATGGATGTAGATGTTTTAAGATCCCTTATCATTTAAGAGTAATGTGGAGATAAGAAGATTTTGATAAGATAAGAACTTTTTGGAAAGATAAGATTGTAATAAACTATATAATTTAGAATATAGTTTGTTCTTTCTTTATATCAGATTATTATTTACATTTGTGTACAATTCATTGAATAAAGTTAATTTTTTAGTATTTGAAGAATTATGGCAAATACTAATAAGGATTATGCAAAGTTAAAAGAAGTCAGTGACCTTTTCACTGAGGAAACATTGAAAGATATACTATATAAAGTGCATAATGGAAAAGAGATAAATGTGTTAAGATGGGATTTTGCTCAAATGAATGCTACAGGTGATAATTACTTATCAACTGTTTACAAGATTAAAGTTACTGGAACTGTTGATGGACAAGAAGTGCATGTCAATTTGGTAGTTAAAGCTATGCCAAAGAACATAGGTAGAAGAAACACTTTTAGAAGTGCAGAATTCTTTCACAATGAAATAGAATTTTATACAAAGGTAAAAAATTCTTCATTATTACAATTTAGCATTTTATTTAATTTAATATATGCTTTAGGTGATTTCAAAATTTGAGGAATTTGTAAAAGAAAAAGGTCAAATGCAAGTATTATGCATCCCAAGACATCTTGCTTCTGTTACGGATGGTGAAAATGATTATATAGCAATGGAAGATGTTACATTTTTAGGATATAAGCCTATAAGTAGACAAAATTTCATAGATGAAGATCAATGTAAGACAATCTTAAAAGCTATAGCAAGATTTCATGCAATCTCTTTTGCATATAAGGATCAAAAGAAAGAAGAGTTTATGGAAATGGTAGGAAATTTGCATGAAACATATTATACTCTAGAACACTGGAACTGGTACAAAAGATTTTTGGTAAGATGAAACATCATTCTCAGTTTTAAAAAAATTATAAAATATTGGGGTATTACTTCAACTTTTTTTTTGCAGGAAAACATAGTAAATATTAATAAAAATGCTTTAGCTCTAGAATGTAAGAATGCTGTTGAATTCTGTGATTGTAAATATCAACTAACATCTGTTGTTACTCAAGGTGATTGTTGGTTACCAAATTTTTTAGCTAAGGAGACAAAAGAAAATGAAGCTGTGATGCTTGATTTCCAATTAGCAAGATGTTCCAGTCCAATCTTAGATTTAGCAACTTTCGTTTATGCTTGTACAGATAAAACTATGTGGGATACACAATTTGATATGTTATTAAAATTTTACTATGATGAACTGAGCAAAACCATTACTTTGCTTGGATCTAATCCTGAAAATGTATATTCCTGGAATACATTTATGAATGAGGTAAATTACATTCACATTTCTCATTAAATCTGATATAATTTTTCAATAATATTTAGGAAATTATATAAATCAAATAATTATAGGTAAAGGAGAAATTTGTATTTGGTATGATATTTACAATGGAAATAACTCCAATGTGTCTACTGGATGATTCTGATGCATTTGATTTAGACCTTATAAAAGGCGATAAAGCAGTAGATATAAGTGATGTATGGACATTGTTAAATGTTAAATCACAAAGTGGAAGACTCAGATTAACCAATATCATTGAACATGCTGTCCAAAAAGGATTTTTTAAATGAACTAATAAGTACCACTTGATACTTATACATTTTTAATTACAATTGACATTTCCAATAAATGTATTTAATGGATAAAAATTTTTACACAAATATATTTTATACATAATGTTTATTAAATGTGTAGCATTAAATAAAATAGAGACAATCTGTATTTGTATAATTTCAATTATAACAACACAGTTTAATTAAAATATAGTTTATATAAGAGTAGATATAGATTCCCATCGTTTATTCACTTATAAACAGTGGGTTTTTTAAGTTCTCTTTTTATCACCTATTTCGGTTAAAAAGTTAGAGAAATTTCGTAAAAACATCTCACTTTTAATTTAAAAAAGAACATCTATTACTGAAAGGCATAGTTTACAAAGGTAAGTGCATCCTTGAATGCATACTGGATGTTAATATTTTATAGATGCAAGCAAGCAATTTTATAGGAAAAAATACCAAATAAAAATTATGTGTGTCAAGTCTTTGTGATGGATGCTTTGACTTTTAAATACCATCACATTTAGGACAAGTTTTTCACATAAATCAAAATTTATGTGAATACATAATCAGCATATCCTATGCTGATTATCTTCATAAATTTTGATGCTGAACATTATTTGTTAAAACATTACTAGCATCAAAAACAGTGGTATCTTCATCATCCTCTTCATCTAATGGCAATGGTCGCATCTCAACATCTTGTCTGTGTGCCAGAACACCATACTTTCTGACCATTTGGGTACGTGTTTTATTTAAACTGTGAAACAATTTATTAGGAAAATATTAACAAACTGAAACTCTATTTTGTATACAATTATGAATTTTAAAGCATTCAAATACCTAAAGCTACGAAACACGAAATAGCCCATGACAAAAACACTTAGCCCCACAAACACAAAAAAACCACGCTTCAGAGCTCCAGCATTTAAAGAAGTTGCATGTCCTTCACCAACATGCTGTTGAAAATTGATATTATTAATGATTTAGTAGTACAGCTTTTGTAATTACTTTTAATTTCTAAATAAATGAAAATAAACCCACTTTGGTTAAATATACTGCAAATTTAAAAAAGTGTAATAGAAATTAAAAACATCACTCCAAAAAAATTTCAGTTTCTTTAAATCAACTTTCAAACACTAACCTCCTTCCGTATTTCAGTGTTATGTGCAGTTTTATTAACATCTATCTGCTTTGAGGTTACATTGTCCACCGTTTTATTACCCTCAAGAATCGTTATGCCGCCAGTTAATATTGTATTTTGTTGTTGAGTTTTTTGTCCATCTAATGAAACATATGCGCTAACTTTTTTCGCGGTTTCATCAACACTTTTGTCTACCGATGTTGATTCAGGTACAGTCCTGTGTATCCTAAAACTTCCATTGCATACTGCGCTCTGTCCTAGTAGGAAGATCAACAGAAATATGAAAAATTTTATCATCTGGATCTTCGAGCGCGTCATTGTTCTGTGTCATTTGTAAAAACAAATTCTAAGAAGGAAAACAGCGCAGCACTATGCGTTGACGTTTAATCACGGGTTCCATGTTGAGCCGGCTTACATGACTAACATCTCGACTCGTTTTGACTTCACTGCTGTTTCGCGGTACGATTCCTCATACCCTGTACTGGTATATACACACCGTCAAAAGGATTTACGCGAGACGGTTAAATATAGATTGCAGAACATCGACAATGTGCATTTATATATATTTGTTTAAATTTATTTTCTGCTCTACTTGAAAGATACTTCTTGATATTTTCAACGTTCACGATTATAACGAATAAATGTGTCAAGTTTCTAGAAAAGCCGACAAAAATTCAGAAAATTACTTAACTATTACTGATTTGCGTATGACGTATTCGTATTGCGCGTTAATGTATAAATACTAGTATCACAAAGACGCTTTTACGCTTAATGGTTTTCAGAATTTTAATTTATCAATTGCACTAGTTACATCTACATACGATACATTTAGAATTAACTTATATTTTACATGTAACGTAACATTATTTATTTATGTTATCATTACGACTGTAAACAAATTTCAAAGCGATAACATAGCAGGAAAAACATTTTGTTCTCAGTTATCTGTGGTTTATTCAGTTTATGTAGATGAAAAATTTTTTGCCAAATCGATCGGCAATTCATGTAATTAAGCATTTCATAATTTATGCAACTTTTGCGTCGTTAAATACCAACGTATTCCTACTATGGAACGATTTTGTGTAATTGTCAAAACGTTACGAAGCATACACAGATGACATGCGTAGATGGTTGACCAATGGGAAAGAAGAATTTGACGCGTACCATGCGTACAAGCATACATACGCGAACGGCAGTTGGAGTGGTTGGAAGTTACGAGTAGAGCGCAATACACGTCAGGCTCTTATTTTGATTCGTGGAGGAGGTTCACCTCGAAGAAACGGGTGGCCGAGTCCGAAGGATTTGCCAGGAAAGTACAGGATATAGGTCGCCAAATACGGATTAAACATGATACGCGCAGAAAATGGGGGTGTTGTATATTTGGAACAGTTAAAAAGTCCGATAGAGAGTGACGCGACAGAGAAGGCAACGTCAAGAAAGTGTGAGGGGCAGCTGTCTTCGGTAAAGGCAAACAGCTGTTCGTCCTACAAAGGTGCAAATCGTACGACAGAAATGGCGCAAGAGGACAATAATCCATGCTGGGATAACCTTCCCATTATCATCCTACACGAGATATTCTCATATTTACCCTACAACTGCCGGTTAAGAGCCTCCCAGGTATTCTTGAATTTTTTGTTCTTCTCAAGGCCGTTTAAATTCTGACCTGACACAGTGGGTAATCAAACTTCTATGTTGTTTATCGAGTCTCGTTTTTTTTACGTATTCTGTTTATTATATACTTTAATCAAACACTATATATTATTTTCGTCGCGTCATCACGTATTTATTGCTTGTTTACATTGTTGGATATCTGTTTTTATAACTGTCACGTCAGAAGCGATTATTAATAAATAAATATAAAGATTAATTTCATTAACATGACTTATTGGAATTAATTTGTATAGGTTTGTAAAAATTGGAGGTATGCTCTGTTTCACCCTTGCTTTTGGAAAAAAATTACATTTGCTCTGAGAGACGAAGACAGTATATCATGGGCTCGGTACATAAAATTACTCATATATTCTTATACAAATTCTGAAGTATTGGTTGCATTCCATTTTTATTCCTTCTAGATGCTTGGCAGAAAGCTTTGGACTTAGTGTGCAAGAAGTTACAATTCGCTGTGATACACCACACCACTCTGCAAAAGAAATATTAGCCCTCTTGAACAAACTGAATTGTAACAGACAACTTCGTAAATTATTTTTGGAATCTAGCAGTAGTACTTTCGAAGAAGATGATGAAGAAGATGAATATGACGAGGATAGTGAAGGATACATTCTACCATTAATAAAATCTCTTATAAAAATTATTAAAACATCTAATCGTTTAGAAGCTTTGAGTTTGGGATGCATAGAAGAATTAACAGCAAGTACTGGTGTGATTCTGGATCTTCTTCGTCAACATCATGCCAAACACTTGAGAATTCTTAGTTTGGCATCTGTTAGAGATGATCCTGATGATTTTGACTTCATGGGACTTTATTATGAATACATTTTTAACTCATTTGTCAGATTATCTATTTTAACTCTAGACTATGAGTTTGTCAGTGATTCTTTATTAAAAGCATTAGGTAATGGTACCATGGAAAGGCTTGTAATTCATGTGCATGGTTGGAATGATCAGTATTCGGGAACAACTAATAGTGCTTGGCAAACTTTTGTTCAGAAGAAGTAAGTATCAGTACAGTTTATTTATCAGTATTTCAACAAAATAAATGGGAAAATAATTTATTACATTTTTTGTATTTTAGTCCAAAATGCGAATTGCGACTAAATCTCATACACTCTTATGTTGGCATTGAAATGTTGGATGCAGATATACTTCGTCCTTCAATGCCTCTTACACATTTAAAAGTATTATTTTGTGAAAATGTTAATATCAGAGCACTCCATGCATTATCCATGTGGTATTCACTTACTTTGAAATCTTTAATATGGATTGATTCGATGGAACCTATAACACAAGATATACCGGCAACTTACGACCCAAGTGATCCTAATAGGTATGACACGTTATTTTGCCCTATATTACGTGATTTTAACTTTTTTATTAACAAGTGTTTTTAACATTTTGCTGCAGCCCTGATCCATTAGTATTAGTTGCATGGAAGTGTACCAAACTTGTGGAAATTGTATTCATAGGCCACAAATATCACCAAGAAAACTTATTAGCTATTGCACGCCTACGAGGATGCTCGCTTAAGTCATTAGTGTTTGCACAAAGATACATTGCATCTGACAGTGAATCTTGGCATAAGGCTGAAACCATCACACATGTAAGTTTTTGGGTTCAGCATTGATATTTAGATATATATACATATATATATATATATTTTAGATTAATAAAGTCATTACACTGTTATTACTTCTTCCATTGTTTCACCTGAATTTACATGCTTAATTTATATTATTAATTACGCAGGAAATACAAGAAATAATGGGGCGTCGATGGGAACCGTTAAGTGACGCAGATTTACCTGCAGTTGTGAAAGATCCCTTTGGAGGTGATAGCAGGGAAGTTATCATGCCATTGGTCCTTCGTGACCAAAAGTAAATTTTTCCATTTATACCAAGGAAAAACACTCCCTAATACTGTACATCACCAATTGACATCATCAGCAATTTCTGGGCGAGCTACATTCTCAGAAGTAAAGTTACAAAGTTATATCCTTTATTTTTCTATAAGAGTTGTTTTTACGAGAACTACGGATGAAAACATCACGCAGTGGCTATGTGTAAATTCGTAGTTTAAAAATCAGTACTTGACGGAAACAATGTTGCCTATCAGGTAAGGATCACACACATTTCCAGTGTGTATGCAGCGAGGGTAAAAACGCACACTAGTTCTCCTTTACAATGATTTTATCAGTTCTCATGGGAACATGATAAGCCATAGTTAACTACGTCTTTCTTGAGTCCGTGATGTGGTACCTAAATTAAGTACGAATCACCTCTACTTTTGTTTAACGAAATGGAGAATGAAAAAACAGTTTTCGTTGGTTTTTCCCCGTCGAAGGCCGTCTCGTGACGGAGTCACGTTTTATCGCTAACAGTGGTGGTCTCGAAACGATCAAAATAAGAGCAATATAATAATTACATGATCGTTCCTCTCATCGATGAATATTAGGGGAAAAATGAAGTATATGTAATATACGAGTATAACAATATTCTTGGTAGATACTAAGAATGGAGCATTACAAGACGATCGAAGTCTCGCCAAAATGGACCTTCTATGTGACGTACACCTGTTGAATATCACAGGAAAACAGAATTCTCATTACGTGAAGGCAATATGCTGCTACAAATGAAGGGCGATCATCGTACCAAGCAATGGAAAAGAAAAAAGAAAAACGAGAACTAGAAAATGAAAGAGAAAGGGCCGATCTCACGATGTTCCACTGGAAAGCGTAACGAAATTCCAAATGTATGTAAGTAGAAACATGTTAACAGATATTTTTCCAATTCTATGGGAAATTTAGATCAAAAGCGAGCGCCAAGAGCATGCTGTGTAAGAAACAGAATAACTAAACGAGCAAAAGAAAAAAGAATAATAATAATGCTAGACTTCGTGAAAGAGAGTTTGCGATCGAGTTGCGCAGATATACAAAGATGCACTCACAAGAAGTCGAACAGCGATCCGAGGTTATTTTTAATACCAAAACCAATCGGACGCTCTTGTACAAATGTTAAATGAACGTGTGCCGAGAAGAGTGCGGTCGATCTGGTGGTACACACACTCACACACAGTTTAACACTGACACACACTCACACATGTATACACTGAATGCGTGTCGCGGTAGAAAAAAAAAAGGATATCGTGATGTTAATGAAGAACTGTGCGACCTCCGAGTACCGTCTCTTCACCGTGCTCTTAGCGACCGCTGAATACGAACACAATTATAGGTTATCTATAAAAACAAAAAAAAAAACAAATCAGAGGAATTAGCTGCTAATCGTGTATGTGTATATGTATGTATATCTGTATTATCTATCGAACTTTAAACGTTAAATATTCGGATGCCGCGTGCATCTATTTCTGTCGTGCGATTAATAATAACAATTTCGAACGTTAATGGAAAAAGGAAAAAAAAACATGAAATACGAAAGAAAAGCGATCCACAACACAAAGAAAAATACCAAAACAAACAACCGTATACAGTTTATTATTCTGAGAGGTTATTTACTTTTTTCGAGTCCTTGTATAATTATTACATCGTCGTGTATCGTAACTTGTAGTCACGTATACCATTGTTTTTTTATATGTGGTTCTGTACATATACATTCATGCGTTTAAAATATTTGGACACGCGCAAAAATCGCGGAGTTGCGCCCGAATTTAAAAGCAAAGAAAAAAGAAAGAAAGAAAAGATTAGCGAGGTGAAGAGTAAAGTAATATATAGCCGTTTATTCGAGAAAAGATGAAGAGGAGGAAGATGAAAAAAAAACGGGAAGATTCGATTGAGAGCTAGGCACAAATGTGAGGAAACTATTTCTTTAAACGATTTAAAAAAAGAAACTGTTATACAAGATGAACGGGCCTTAATATGTACCTGAGTCGCGGTAAGAGTAAATTTGCCGAAGAAAAATCTGATACGCGACAGCCACCATAAAGAAATCTAATCGTAGACACCTTAATGGACATTTTTCGGCGATTCGCTAGGAACACCTGCCTGTATCTCGCCCAAAAGTGACTAATGAATTAAGGTTATGCACGGGCCCTTTCATTTCGTATTCCATGCGCGGTCTATTTTTTTTTGTTTAGGTCAGTCAAACAAAAATTCTTAAGGAAACGGAATCGACGGTTATTCGTTACTAATAATAAAAAAACTCGCGAATCAATTTGTTTGCCGACCATTTGACGCTGTGCGGATGGGTCAGACGTTATATTTACTAAGTCTTTTTGTTTTCTTTTCTTTTTTGTTTTTTTTTTTTGTTTAATTTTTCCCAGTGTATTTTTTCGTCGTTTTTATTATTATTATTATTATTTTTTTAAATCGAACGAAGTCCCGCATAAACAGTATATCCGCGGGCACGGTGCCCGGCGTGTGAGTCTTTAAAGAAAGAAAGGGAGAGAGAGAGAGAGAGCGCAAGAGTAAGAGTAAGAAAGAGAACAAGTGTGAAAGAACATATGACGTTGCGAAAAATGATAACGTATGAGAGAGAGAGAAATGAAAAAAAAAACGGAAAATTAAATGAAAGATGAGTTGCGTTCGGATGTAAGAACGAAAGGTTGAATAGCAACAAGAATAACAAACAAACAAATCAGGTGATACGTAGTACCATCTCTGCGAAATCCTGTGTACAAAGTCGTGTAGAGAAAATGATAAAGGCATCCGTGCGGCCGCTTAACCAAACGGACACAACCCAACTTACACGCATATACATATATCGATATAAAGCGCGAACGACAAACCAAGTATAAGACTGAGCCTGCCGGGAAAGGTATATAACATACACAGTTAGGCGGTCCGCACGTTTCGCCACGTCCCGACCTCATATTCATAAAGCAAGGACGATCCCGACTAAACGGAAAGCATCGCTCGCGAATCGCGTCGAAACGAATAGTTCGCATCGATGCGCGTATATGTACCTATTGTCGATAACGCTTGTCTCGATGGTTGCTCGTCTAACGGTTTCCTTTCTACGTCTTAGCTTTCCGTCTTAGCTCGTGGCCCTCGTCGATTCGCCCCTGATTGAGCCACGCGAACCAAACCAATTTATGAATATGCGCGTCGTTTAAAGAATTAAAAAAAAGTTAAAAAATAAAAAAAGTAATAACAAAGGGATGGTGCACCAGCTAGTGTTTAGATCGGATTAAACGCCCCGTGAAGAGAGAAAGAGAGAACAAATAAAAAAATATCGAAAGCTCACTCGACGGTGGTTCTCGTAGCCGATAAAATAACTAATACCTTTTAAGACAGCCTGCCAAGAATCAAAATACTGTAAAATATCAAACGAACGCTAGCCAGTACAGAATGCTAAGATCTATTTTTTAAGAAGCGAATGTATATTTTTGTACTAAGGCAGGCCTTAGTGTGAATCGTGTATTCTTGCGCGTAATGGCAAGACGAGAGCTGTGATCCATAATATCGTTTCGGCTTAGCGAGAGAACATACAAAGAGAGAGAGGGGGGGAGAGAGAGAGAAAGAGATACATACTAGAGACAGAAAGATGGAAAAGAAAATAGTACAGTGCGACGTGTGAGACGCGCGTTCACGGAAGAATACAGGGAAAGAAAATGGCGAGAATATCCTTGCTAGTTGATACCGAGTGGGCTATATAGGTGAAAAAGGGGCGGCGATAATCGAGAATAAAACATCTGTGATAAAATATAAAATCTTAGAAAGGGTGCTCGAGAGAAGGTAGCGAAAGGAGAGAGCGGAAGTGAAAACAAGCGTGCGTTGAAGAAGAAAAAAACAAACAGAATAGAAAATGTTGATGAAGCTAAAACAAAACGAAACA